TTTTTCGCTTATCTTCTTCAAGCTAAAGTGCATGTTTTAGTTTATAGAGAACTTACATATTGTTCCTTGAACTGGCAGGGTAACCATACCACATTGGCAGACATGAAGAAGATGTGGATGGCTAAGAAATTCTCTTATATTTATGAGGCTAAACCTATCTCTAACGAGGCCATATTTATGCAGTCTCTTTATTCGTATTCTATTAGTATGTCTAATCACCATAATTCCCTTTTTAGTTTTTATATGCTTGATTTTACAATTAGAGAGAATCAGTGATGAATGACTACTTTATGCAGGCCATATGGTTTCTACAGGTGCACTGTCAACGAGATTGGGTGGCTTCTATTGCCTTTACTGCCTCTATGAGACTCAACCATATAAACCTGCTTTCAAAATTTATTTATCTCTTTGTATGTGCCGGTGATATTTAATTCTTAAAGTCATTTTAATTACCTTAGATATCAGAAACATAGGTCTGTGGTAATTTTTGTCACTGTTAAATTCTTTCTTGTTTATCTGCATTTTTCCTTACATATTTGCTCTTCTGTCCTCATTAGTGAACTATGAAACGAAAAAGTGCATCTGGCCATGACTAGACACTGAGTACCATAGATATGCCATTCAGGTTTGATGGTGAAATATGCATTGTACCCCTTTTTCTCACACTTTTGACTTGTTTAGGAGTTTGTCTAAAATTGGTCTCTTCTATCTTGCTTTAGATCTTTAGAGTAATCTGAAGTTGATGAACTCCAAACTCCTACTGCTGCCCTTCTTTGTTCAGTAGTCTTTGATTTTGCTTTGGGTGTTTGGCAAACTTGTCTTTAACATTGGTCTGTGTATTGAATAATAAATATAAACTGCCTTTGCAGAAGAAAAAGGTTCTTTTTTAGGTTTGCAGAGTGAAATAGTTCATGGGTAGCAAGAAACATTATTATTTTATTTCTTTTTTTCACTCATTTGTTTATGTCTTCTGCAACAGGTGAGTTAAAGAGGCTGAAGATTCTTGTTATTGATGCAAAAAAGATTGGTATTGCTATTGTTCCTGCTCTTGTCAAAAAAATGCTAGATAAGAACATGTTTATATTTGGCTTCGTTGATAGAGTTGATGGATATGAGAGCCAAAGGGTTGACGAGATAATGAAGCTAGAAAACAAGCGAATTCAAATAGCATATGAAAAGTAACTTATCTGAACTCTATAATATTTCTTATCCCCTATGCTTATGATATGTGGTCGTAGTACACTCTTTGTATCTATTTCTGTGTTTGCAATGTTTTCAATTTTGTAGCGTTTAATCTTCTGGCACTGTAGTGGATTCTTATATAATGGGCTATATTATATATTGCTTGTTACTTACTATTTTCTCTTTCCATATTACAGATTATTGGGCAATACTCTGATAGAGGACTATCTGCATATGGACCTTGTAAGTCATTTCCGTTACATCTTGATGTTAAGTTGATAAATAGTGCATGCATAGACTAGTTGGTTACTTGGTTATCACATTAGTACTGCACCCTTTTTGTACCTTGCATTTGGAAATATGAAAAACATGGTGAACACCATCATGCTCTCTCGCTCACCGAAAGCAAGTCATTATTCAATGAGCAAGTCTTACATCTTTATCACTTCCACTATTTTCTCTTTTGATAAAAATGAAATTTAGCTGGTTTGCAAACTGTTGAGGACAAATTGAGGCTTGTGATCAGTTCTTCTGGCATATACAAGCAGATGAATGGAATGAGTGAATGTATTGAGTTCTCTTAGGATTCTACGAGGAGAATTAGGATGCAAACAGATTCTTTTCTTTTAGGCTCCTTTGCTATTTTGTCTTTTAATTAGTCACTTAAATGGTAAGAAAGGGCAAAAATGTCTTGTTCTTAAAATTCATAGTCCATAAATGGTTTGGCTAATTTTTGTCAAAGTTCTGTGGAGGTAGGAGTATCATTTTGTAACTAAGAAATGCAAGTGTATTTTAGGTATATATCTAAGTATTTCTTTGTAATTTTCCCTAGCACACTATCTAGAATATATACTGTGTTTTTTAACTATATATTTATATATCTATTTAAGATGGGAATTCAAGTGGCATATGGGTGTTTTGAACAAAGAATGAAGGATGACCATTCTTTGTGTGATGCTAGGTCAACTTATGACATAGGTACAAGGTTTTTCTTTTTCATTTTCTTTCTCAAATCTGATGTTTTGCCACATGATTGCGCCCTGCTGTCGTTGACCATTACGAGCATGTCCCTTGATACTTAATCATTGAGGTCAATATTGTTGGGAGATTGCTTTCGAGTAATAATCAGATTTGCTAACTAGTTGCTTACTCTTGAAACTGATTCCTGAACAAGCTGACCATGCCTCTATTTTGTGGTCGAAGCTCATTCCTACTTTTGCAAAGTGATTTCAGTAAATTGCCTTCTAAGAAGCAAGACCTAAAATCCTTTAAATATTTTACTCAGTTCTGAATCATGAGAACAGTGAATCATAGTCTTACCTTGATCATGCTCTCCTGGTTTTCGTCTGAAAATTCCATCGTGTGCTATGGCACCATTAATCTGTTATGCTTTCACTCGATGGTCTGTTCCCCTAGAAAGTTACAACGCATTAGTTGATGCATACAGGGCTTAAAGGCTCCTGAAAAAATTCCAACTCTCCCTTTGCTGTTAAGTGGCTGATTGAGCTCAATCATATATTGTTTTAATTTGTTTTTCATTATTTATAAACAACCAATTGATAACATGATTATTTCCTACTTAAAATGTATGTGCTGGGGCTTTTTTTTATAACTGTAGTACATATGCAGCATGCCGTTACCTGTGCAGACTCTAAAGCTTACATGTTAATGGATTGGTGAAATGTTTTAACAGCATGGCAAGTGATGTCTAAGAAATCATCAAACAGCATTCTAATACCTGATGTGTAGTACATGGTTGTTAGGACAGTGTCTTGTTCTTGATTTCCATGATGAAATAGCGTGCTGTTCTTGGATTTTGACTTGCATTAATCCATTTAATCTAACCGTCTATGCATCTGTCGTAAAATTCTTTTGCTTCGTTAGCACGATAACTCTTCTAAGAACAAAGGCAACCAGAACCCTGGTGCAGTAGTAACAAATATACTGTTATTTACTTGTAATTTGAATTAAATAATGGTAGACCCATAAGATCTTGTACTCTATGACCTTTTGTTGCTACTGCAAAGTTTTGAAATGGTTCATCTATCTATTATATTTTAACGAAGTTCTGCTGGCAATAATCATTGCTGTTCTCATTGATTGTTTGTTATCACTTATATTCAGGGAATGGAATTGGAACTAAGCACACTCAAGAAAATGTCAAAAGAATATGCTGAAGCAAAGGAATTGGCTATATCAGGTACCCTTTAATGAACACTTTTTGCAATGTATTATAATAGCTAGATAAAAAAAAGATCAAGGCATCATTTGCAGATTGCTGCATAACCCAAGTACTCACTATTGTCCTTGGAGAAACTATATTCTAGCTATAAACTGCATATATAGTATGGTTTTTTTTTCAACCATAAGCCTAGCTGGACAGACATTTGTTTCTATTACTGTTGAATAGGCCAAATTCAGGCCTTCAAATACAGTTACCTATGGTCGATTTTCAGCCAGCTTTATTAATTTTGTTGGAATGCTCTGATGCAATATCTTAAAATGAGGAAATCAGTGGTGAAAAAAAGATATCTGTTAATGTCATAATTTGCTTTGATCTCTTAAAGGAATCATCAAATGAGAACTTCATGTTAGGTGCTGCCCTCTAATGGCAGAATGATCATCCTAATTTCTGTTCTTTGAAAGTTCTGCTGTATAAAGTATCCGTCATCAGTTCCTTATTGAAGTTAAGAGGAAACAACATAATTTCTTCTAGAAGATAACATTTTGATTTTCCATGATGATGAATGATTTCCTTTGCATAATTTGGGAAAATATCTAATATAGAAATGATTTCCATGTCATATCGGCATGTTTTGATTAGCATGATTTATCTTAATATCCTATGCTATTAGTATATTACTTACTAAGCTTTGGAATTTATCTGGCACATTAACTACAGAAAACATCTTTCACCTTTAAAATATAGCTAAACATCTATCATTATGATAACGAATGTATTTTAGCAAAGATTTCTTTTTTTCCTCTTCATGTGGTTTTCCTTTACTAAAAGACATCTCTTCTCTTGCCCTTTTTTACCCAATAAAAGAAGCTATGGGTCCAGTGGATATGGAGGATGTAAAACACATTACAGAAGACAAGAAGCTGGTGGGAGACATGGTAGATGATATCGTGAAAGACTGGGATGCTCAAAAGGAGACATTTTGTACGCAGACTGGCATTAGTAGCCGCAACGATGCAGTGGCAGTTGATGACTTCGACGAGTTGGAACACCTCTTGAACGAGTAATGTACATCTTGATGTTTCATAAACTACAGAAACATGCTTTTACCACCCAAATATTGGGGTTTCCATGCTTTGCAAGTAACATTTGTTCCATGCTGCTGGAACTACTTCAACTAGTAGAGAATTTTGCTGATACTTTACTGTGCAATGAATGTCATTTATGGTGGATAGACAAATAGTTTTTTTGTGGCGGTTGTTTCTCTAAACTATCCTTTTATCCCAAGATTGTTGTGTTTCAAGTAGCCTTAGTAAAATTGTATTTGCAATACATGAGAAAGTTTGGGCTGCTGTTTGATCCCAAAGATTATGGGCATGTCCTCATCAGCCTTAGCCACACCTGTTTTCTGCTTAATATTTTGCTCTCTTTCAACACTTGATGTGATATCTTCGATTTATTTGACATTAGTAAAAATTGTTTTTGGATTGAATTAGAATCCATTCATCATGTATTATAGCCTTGATTAAGCCTCTTTTGTATTTTTTTTCTTAATTCAACATGGTTTCAAAGTCATTCATATCATTCAACTTCTAGTGTAAGATATCATTCAACATGGTGTAGTCTTACTCCAAACTTTCTAGAGAAAATACCTCATTTTATTCATATAAATGAAACCATAACATACTCCATATGAGGATGCAATCAAGCCAGCAGAAGGAAAAAAATAAGAAACAGCCAACCATTGCAGATTGACACAGCATTTGATATCAAGATGAGGAAACACAAATCTACACTGAAGCACTGAGAAGCTTCATCTCTTCCTTCATGGCTGCAGCCAGGTGATCATAGGCTTGTCCCCAAGCATCCTTCATTTCAGGGCACCACATCTCTGGGACTGCATCCTTTATGGTCTCCAACAATGCAAACTTCACCACCTGCATGATTTGATATAAATCATCACTTCTAATCCTCCGAAGATTTCTCCATACTCCAACTGAGAAGAAATGTGTTCAAAGCAAGCTTCTGCTGTTGGAAGAATAGTATAAGCTTTTACATCAAAGCTCATACATGACAACGTCGAATGAAATAAACTTGATCTTGAATTAGCACTGTTGTACTGATATAGCAGTTGTTGTTTTTTCTTTTGGTTACTTTTTCAGGTGATTTGTGAGAGTAAATGACCTCAAAATGTTCATCGATGACGCCGGAGTTCATGTGAGTAGCTCCCAGCTTCTTCAAGGTTGTCTCCCTCACTGCAACTTTGCCTGTTTTCCTCAGCTGAGCTGCTGATTCACATGCCTGCAACCAAGCGTCAGGAACACCAAGCTTGTTGGACAAGTGTTTGGCATTGTCAAGCTCAGATCAAAGTCAAGCTACACTTGCATACCATGGTGAAGACTGCCATGGCATGAGCTTTGAGCTTTGGGTTCTTATCGAGCGACACATCGGCGTCGCGCAGAAACGAGAACAGCTGAGTTGCCGAAGGTGCGATCTCGAAGATCCTATCAAGAACAGAAGTTTCAGCCGCAATGCATGTGGTTCTGCAAGAGAGTGCGTTGGCGTAAGAGACAAAGGAGATACTTCAGGAAGAAGCTTAGGGCAGTGTCAGCTGCATGCTGCTTCATCACATTCCACGAGTTCACCACAAGGGCCTCTTGCTCCTCACTGAATGCAATGGCTTGAGCCCCCTCAGAGTTCTCCATCTCTGCTTCCTCGGATGAGAGCTGCTTCTCTCTCTCTCTGCTGCAGGTGCTTCGATAGGACAGCGATTGGAACGCATGAATGGTTGAGAAGAAATGGAGGATGGGGTGGCCTTTGGAGGATAAGAAGAGGCAAAGACTGGTCCCAAATTGATCCAGAATAGCCATAGTTGGCTCAAAACCATACGTGGCTCTGTCCTCGAGAGACAAGGATTTGATATTGTTTTGGTTTGTATCCCATGTATCTGTTGCAAATCCTTATCATACTTTTAGGGAAAACATTTTTGTTTGCTTCTATACAAATTATTTTAGAGAAAACAAAAACAACAAAATAAATACTTCCTTTTCAGTCCATCAGAATTCTTCTTCTTCTTCATCAAGCATCTTAACATGTTCGTTGACGAGGATAATGATGGCGATAAGACTCGGGTTGATGCCCCAGATAACGTCTCGGTTGACCTGACACCACCTGATCAAATGGATCGGAACGTCGACCGAGGCACATTAAATATCCTGCTCAGGCTCGGTCCTTCAAGTCACGCCAACACTAGTATCAGACGCTACCAGGAGTACGAGCCTGCCCCCTACAAGAGGGCACATCAGGAAACAGTAAGCTTCCCTATAAATACCCTCGCATTCTAAACGGGAAAAGGAGAAGGACACCAACATAGATAACAAACCCCCTGCGACTATTTACTGACTTGATCGTTAAAGGGGTCGGGTCGAGCTCTTCCGACCCGACCTGTGTGCAGGTGCGAAGGCGGAGGCATCCTACTAGATGCCCAGGCGAGGAGCCCTCTCTCAGAGGAAACGGCGACCCCATCCCGATCAGACCACCGCAGTCGGTCACCTTAGCAGTCTCGAGGAACATCCCGGGGAGATCCCCGTCATCCGGACCCGAACAAAGCCGCGTCGGCCCCGAGGCCACGGCTTAAGGTTGTTTACACGAACATCTGTTATCCAAAGTTCTTATCATCTTTGCACTTTGCAGGCATTCTGCAATCTACAAGCATGCACAGCACAAACAAGACACTCACCATGGACGCTGGTATGCTTAATGATCACACACCTAAACTTCTCTGGTTGATTGGAGAACTGTGTTTATCTTTCACCAATGTTTAGGACTTGGAAATCCATCTGCACGACTTCTGCCAACAATGGTTTGGAACATAGCTTGTCATTATATATTCTATAGCATAGATCTCAATAACAAGATGAATATTTTATATGCTCAAATGTGGATCCATATCCATAATTATATGCAAATCTTTTTCGTTTTTCTTGAGAAGACATGATCATGCATCTGGCTACCAACTTCCATTGTGGTGTCTCCTCCCCAATCCATGCCATGATTCCTAGTCAAACACTATGGCCTAAACCCATGTGCAAATGTAAAGTTCTTCCCTCTTTTGCCTTTACAGCTTTTACTTCCTTTTCCTTGGGTAGAAGAATCATTTGATAGCTTGAAGGCCAGGAAGCCATCATCTCAACTGCTGCAGCTCTGTACCAAAGTGTTCCTGGAAAGGGAAGTCAAAAGGGAAAGTCATCCTTTGCCGTATTTGATTCTGTTGAGATATATATAGTAATTTACATGTGCTTTCTGTTTCTGCACACACCGAAAGGCACTGTGATGGATGATTACTTTTTGGGTTCCTGACACTAATCACTTGGATTCTGCACTTTACAGAGCAAAGCTTGGCTTGTCAGATTGTAGGGTTGACTCATCTAATCCTTGTACCTAAAGGAGATTAGTCAAAGTTTATGTTCAACTCTGTTATGCTGCATGCATTTTATTTCTCTGCCACCTTCATCAAAAGTCTCAAGTAGCAGCTGCTAGCTGCTAGACCACAAGTAATCTTCAATGAGATACTTGTGAAACCAGAGACTAGTAACTGTAGGAACATCACATTACTTGAAATGTGTCAATGCAATTTGTCAACAAGTTAGTTTAGATCAAAAGATGAATGACTGCTAACAACAGATTAAACTGATGTTTTAAGAACCAGCTGAGCCAAATGCATAATCAAATTCATTGAGCACATTTTCTCTTTCTACCCAAACTATCATGTGAGAACACCTCCATAGAATCATAGGAAGGTCTCTCTCTCTCTCTCTCTCTCTCTCTCTCTCTCTCTCTATGTGATGAACATAATTGAGGAATCAAAATTTTGAGTTACTTGTCGGTGGAGTGCACAAACAACCAAAATCTTGCAAACTATTCAATATCCAGGAGCCAAACACCAAAGTTCTGCGGCTCTTAGCCCACACTGCTTGCATCCCCAAGTACTAGAAAAGAAATGAGCAAATGCAATCACATACCATGCCCTCCCATGCATGGATGTTTTTGGATATCTTTTGAATACTCTCTGTGTTGTCCTTATCATGTTCATGTTGGGACCTGAAATTGAAAAAGTGCACACATCGAGTATGTGTATTTCTATTGTCATTTTAGGTCTCCAGGGAACCACATAGTTTGCCATCCAAAACAGAGGGGTGAGTGGTGGGGAGACTTGAAAGATTGGAGATGGTGGCCTGAAGAATTTGAAGTGGGTAAAACTAAAAATGATATCTTTTTTTTTGCTTCTCTGAACCAAGAGGAATGGCGTGATGGTACCCATCATTTTTCTCTGTAATTTTGCCCACCTGTGGTTCCCTCCATGCTTGACATTGGAGCACGGTCCCATCATTAGGATTCCAGAGACAGAGCAAGCGATGTGGAGAAAAGGAAGGGTGGGGTGGCGGAAGAAGCTGAGAGACGTGAAATGGTTAGTGCGATGGATTCTCCCTTTGCTTCCTAACCGTCCTTCGTTTTCGGATCGAAAGGTTTTGCTTCGCAAGTTGATGATTCCTTGTTTTCTGGAGGAAGAAACCCCTTTTAGGTTCTCAAGTATGAATCTTTCTTACAGAAAATGAAGAGCAGATGAAGGAAAGATTGGATCTTTTGGTCTTTCTTAGAGAAATCGGGTTCAAGTTTTAATCTTTTCCTTTCATCGTACATATTCAAGTTCATCTTTGCAAATAGCTTAGACTAGATTCTTTTTTCTTACTGAAAACAGATGCTTTGATTTTTCTGACATAGATTGATGTTTTTTCTCTGTTGTTGCAAGTAGAAGTGTCCACCCATCTCTGCAATTCCACTGGCTCTTGTAGAACATTCACTCTCCTGAAATGCCACTGAGTTGTAACTTTGCATCTAAAGTTTGAACTTCTCATCCTGAAAAAGCTCTATTGTGTGCAGGTACATGCAATCTTGACATCGACTTAGGAACTGAATACTGTTGCTTATAGACAATAATTTAGATTTTGTGTCTTCAGACTCCATGATGCCCTCTTGAATGAATTCTCATTGTGAAGTTATCGAGCAACAGAAAGAAATATGACTGATTTTAGAGTCAGAAAGCTTGGGCAAGGTCAGATGAAAGCCAGAAATGTTCCCGTCGCTGTAACTCCTGAAGGGTTTTGGTGTTGCCCATCCCCCGCAGTTCTACAAAAGACCATTAAGAATCAAAATCACCAAAACAAGAAAAAGATACTGTCTACAATGCCGTCAAAGGCATCTTCAGTTCAGAGGCCAATAAGTTCCCCAGTAGACAAAGGAACACTTTCTGATCCATTAAGTTCAAGAGTTTGTTCCGAGGATAATAGTTGTCTTACCTCTGATACTGCTGCTAAAAGTCCAACAAAGGCAGCTGAGGGTCTCTCAAAATTAAATGTTGGGAATCAACACCAAAAAATTTCTGTGGGCTTTGGTCAGCCTGAGACCAGTGATTTGAAGATTATTTTGTTTGGGAAAGAGGGAATTGCCGTCGAGATGAGCGTTCACAAGGCCATTCTCACAGAACACAGTAGCTTCTTTGCAGATAAATTCTCTAGGCAATCTCCGGTACCATTTTTTGAAATTTCTGACTGTGAAGATGTGGAAATTTATGTTGAAACTGTGGGGTTAATGTACTGTGGTGAAGTAAAACACAGAGTAATCAAGCAGAGTGTTTCACGTGTGCTCCGCATTCTAAAGGTTTGTTCGGACATCACAGAGTTCTGCTTTACATTTACATATTCCTTACATAAGTTTCCTGTCGAATTTTTTCCATACATCTCTGTGTGATTGAATTTTATTAGCATGTTTAATTAATGATTTATATATAGTTTTATTGCATGTGTAAGACAGTGCTCATTATCATAGTCCTTTGTTCAAGGAATGTTTGTTAATCTATAACGACCAAATGAACCATTTCAAAGCTATATTTTTTGTTTGAATGATGTGAATGTGATTACCAAGTTAGAAGCATTTGAGAGATATTGCGACGTGCAAATGCATTTTAGTTTTTGAGTGTAATCACCTTTTGTACTTTGGAGCTGAAATTATGAGAGCTCAAGTCCTGGGAGAACTACTAGGATGCATGTAAACCAGTTCTAATGTTACTTTCCAAAATATACTGGATGCAATGGTCATATAATATGCATATAAAATGGGCCTTGTATTTTCATCAACCAAGGCTGGCAATAAGAATTTCATGTAATCATTGTGCATTTCATGTAATCAGTTATGTAGAATTTGTTTTCTTTCAACTTCGCAAAGTGAGCAAATTTCCAGGAAGATAAAAAAGACAAATAAACATGTGCAACTGTTCTTAAAAGTAATTTATTGAACTAGAAGCTCTATGTCTCTCTTACTTTCACCCCCTTTGTTGTGCATATGTAATCTTTTTACCTTATGTTTTCATTTGCTGGTTGCAACCATGGACATCACCAAGATTCACATTTGCAGGTTGCTGAATCGCTTGGATTCCATGCATGCATTAAGGCATGCTTGGATTACCTGGAGGTAGTCCCCTGGGTTGGTGAAGAAGGAAATGTGGTGTCATCTGTCCAACATCTCCAGAGCAAAAATTATAGCATAAGTCCTATATTAAAGCGAGTATTTTCTGATACATCGAAACCTCCAAATGATACTCTTGCTCATATAATGGAGCTAGTCCTCAGAAGCAACGAGGAGAGAGGTCGACGTGAGATGAAATCATTAGTGCTCAAACTTCTCAAGGAAAACAGTTTCTGGACTGATGGATCCGTAGACATATGCATTGGAACTTTGTATAGTTTATGCCAAAGCTGCTTAGCCTCGTTGATAGAGCTCTTTAGACAAGCATCCAAGTCTACTCGTATCGAAAGCAAGGATCCTACGGTGAGGAAGATAGCTCTCGAGGCAGAAAATCTTCTTTGGTTGGTCGAGATTTTGGCTGTCAGGCATACTGCAGATGAATTTGCCTTGATGTGGGCTAGCCAAAATGAGCTTGCTCAGCTGCACTCAAAGCTTCCAGTCATGTCGAGGCACCGAGTTAGCTGCATTACTGCCAGGCTTTTTGTTGGTATTGGAAGAGGAGAGATGCTTCCATCGAAGGAAACTCGGCAGCTGCTATTGCATGTATGGTTGCAGCCACTGGTTGATGACTACAGTTGGTTACAACATGGTTGCAGACAATTCGACCGCAAGGTTGTTGAGGAAGGAATAGGCCAAACTATTTTGACACTTCCTTTAGAAGACCAGCAAAGTGTTCTGCTGTCATGGCTGGAGAGCTTCTTGAAGGTTGGTAGTAACTGCCCTAATCTGCAGAGAGCCTTTGAGGTATGGTGGAGGAGAACTTTCATAAGGCCTTACTTTGAGCAACATGGAAACAATCTAAAAATGGACAGAAATTGAGTAGTTAGGTTGCCCTGTATTAGCTGAGTGGTTTATGATGAGTTGTGAAAGGAGAGTACATTGGTTTGAAGATGCATTCATTCTTGAAAGTTAGCATCATGCTGCTGGCATCTCAGGATTGAGTTTAAGCTTGCAGGTTTTGATCTGTTGAAGGCATGGCTGGAAGTGCATAAAGGAGGTGCAATATCCTGATTGGTTTATCATCTTTCCCTCTCTTTATGGATGAGAACTGAAATCAAATCTTTACTAATAGAACAAACACATGAATTCAGAATTCCATATGTGGAGTACACTGAACTTGACATTCCTGAGACAAAAGTTTGTAATGATACTAAGTAGACACTATATATTTTCATCTTTTGTTGGCTATTTCTGGAGAAACAATTGTTATGATGTTGCAGTTGCCATTGTGAAAACAGAAGTTGACACTCAATAGAGAAAAGCTTGTAATGATAAAAGTTTAATCTCTGACAAATTTTGATGGCCATCTTTGGAGAAATTTATTGTTGTGAGTTCCATTTTCCATGGATCACCTTGCCAAAGGATTGCAACAGAAGCAGTGAAAGGAGTGCAAGGAATGTAGAGGAGAGGAACTCGAAGTGCAGTCACATCTCCCATTCACTCCTCTCCAAGGATCAGCTTCAGCATGCAGGGCCATATCATGTCACAGGGTGGCTGGGAGACCTCAACAACAGAATACAGGGGATAAAGACACAATGCCTGGAAGAAGCCTTATCCACAAGAACCTTCACAGGGTAAGCATACACCCTCATCTTCCTACCACTGTAATTAAGATCTGCAACTCTTTCTTCTTCAGCCATGTCAACAGCTCAAAGCAGGTTAAATTGTAGCTTTGATACCAGCAGGAAACATGGTGGCTGAGATCATAGCATTCTCATGGTTCATGTTTAACATATACCACAGGTGCTCAATGGCAAAGATCAGTTGCTACAAGCCCACATACAAATCTAATGTTGATAGTAACAACTATGACACAAGCTGCAAGGTGAGTGATTTATGGTGCTTGTTTTGAGCAGAAGACACAGTGTAGTAACATGCCAAGGTTGTTTTCTTTGTGTCTTCCTCTCAGATTAGGGTTCCTGCAAGGACTGACAGAATCTTGTTCAAGGTTGAGCATGATCATGGTATTGATGCAATCTTGAACTCTTATGAATCCATTGATTACATCAAGAGCTCTGACCACAAACCAGTGAAAGCTCATCTTTGTCTGAAACTGAACTCACATTCAGATCTCTACAGATCCACAACTCTTATATAATAGAGAAAATCCAATGACTTGCCACGAGTCAGATCTACATAAAACTTTATGCCTCATGAATTATCTAATGTATGAGAGCAGGAAAGAAAATTAAACTTGACCATTAGAGTGGATACATATTTTGAATGCTATCCCATGGAAGTCAATCCATCAGTACATGACCAATTATTGCATTGCGGTCAACAGACTGCATCAATGCAACATTTTATTAACAATTCAATGCGAAAGTAGCCACCAACTAACATTCTGAATTGCATTTCTACAAATGCAAACACCCTTTTTGTGTGAAATATAATTCTTTCAGGTTTTCAACAATATCAGCATTCAGCAAGACGACTATTACAAACTTTCTAAAACCAAACAAGGCTGGCGATTACCAGAGCACCGATGAGAAGTAATAGTGCCTTCAGATACATATCGACCTGCTGTCCCTGATGCACATGCCGTGGGAATCCATGAGCATGCCCACCATGAAATGCATTGCCATACCCATAGGGGAAGCCGGCACCATGACCATAAGTAGTAGCATCCGGGAATCCATGGACCTGAAAGCTCAAAAGTGGGAACAAGCCACCGATAGCAGCAGAAAATGTGTAGTTCCCGAACCTAGTACCAGCCACAGGGGCTCCACCCATGAACCATGGGTTTGCATGGTGAAAATTGTTCGGGTCTGGCGGGGGTGCCGTCGCTGGCCTCTGCCCAGCTGGGCGGTTGGGAATGTTCATACCAGGTGTGGATTTGGACCGTGGATCCGTAGCATTCTTCCCCCGGCCATATAGGGGGACTAACTTCTCTTCTTCAATGATGGCCTTGCAGACAGGGCATTCGGAAGATTGGGCATGGCCATGAAGCCATTTGTAAAGGCAGGGCCAGCAGAACAGGTGACCACAGAGGGTGACCACAGGGTCCTGGGCCAGCTCAAAGCAGATGTTGCATTCAAAGCTACCAGCATCATTGTTGCTACTGCTTCCGCCAAAAGAAGAGCTTTGCGGGGCTCTACCGGATGACGACTCCCCAAACCCACTGGCCATCGGTGTAGAGGCAAAATCAAAACTTGCAAAAGGAGAGAAAAAGGAAAGATCAAAAAGGAGTCAAACCCAGTATAAGTTAGATACTTTAGCAAACAAAACCCCAAAAATTAGCCTTTAATTTCCAGGATCAGTTTAGCCAACACAGAAAAGGAAAGGAAACTGAATCCAATTAGTGGTACATCAGGTCATGGATGCCTTAAGGCAGCGTAGTTGTACAAACTATGCCAAGAACAATCTAGAGAAGAGAAAATTCTCGCATAGATCAATACCTATGGAGGTAGAGGCAGATATGACAGGAGGAATTTGGGAAACAAACGACCAACAATTACAAACCAAACCCTAACAAAACCCCCAAATGTAAAACCAATTGGCCGCACAATTCTCAATGGACAAGCGTGCGACCGCTGCAGATATGATCAAGAACTATACATATAAAGGAAAGCGAACCAAACCCTAGCAAAATATCAACGAGTCGGAGATCAGAATGTAACCGGTCGAAAACAAGGTCTTCTTAGATCGGATAAAAACAGCGAAAGAAAAGAAGGAAACAAAATAATCATTCTAGGTTCGAATCAACAACACACAAACAAAAAGCGATCTCGAACGAGGGAAAGGGGGCAAAGACGAAACTTTTATCGAATAAAATCAACGCGAAAAAGAAGATCGATCGAACGCAAGAAGGCAGAGCGAATCAGTACCTGATTCGAGCGGCAAAAGCTGGGAAGGGAGTCGAGGGAAGAGATTGGAACCGATGAGAAATCGAGAGGAATGTAAACCGAGAACGGAAGACTTTGACGGGTGGATGCGACCACCGAATCCTCCAGTGTTCTCCGTGACACTTTCGGATCTTTTGGATGGGTTTCGGATCTACCAGCGGCATCCGAACCCTGTGTTAGCCCGACCCGGCAACATAACGGGTCTTGTCGGGGCCCACACTAACAGCCGTTATCGTTATAACGGGAAAAATGTAAGGGTAAGAAAGTTATTTTGAGACTTGGAAAGGATCGATAGGTAAATACGTCTCGTAATTATGTCATAGAGACGGAAGAATACGGGATATAAACCCTATTAAGGGATATGAACGGTCCAGATCTCCCAAGATGAGTACTTATAATCCATCCACCGTCCGTTTCAAGTTAGTGTACCCTTTTCAACAAGATAATATATCCGTCGCTTAATTCAAACCTCCTCGTTAGGGTTCCAAAGAACCCTAAAAACAACAGAGAGCAAGCGAGCTAGCACAGGCGGAGGAGAGGAGATGGAGTCGCTGTCGTCGTCGACACTAACCTCTGGGACGTCCTTGGCGGCGTCGGCATGGGACGGGGGGAGGCTGTTTGTCGGTGGCATCTCGTCGGACACGAGGGAGGAGACGCTGGCGGAGCACTTCGAGAGGTACGGCGAGGTGAAGGAGGTGGTGGTGTTGAGGAACCGGGTCACCGGGAGCGGGAGAGGCTTCGGCTTCGTGCAGTTCGCGAATTTGGAGGGCCCCGAGCGCGCGCTCAAGGAAGCGAAGCATGTCATTCATGGAAGAACAGTTAGTGCTCCATCGTTTTCTTTTCTCAGTTCTTTACTTTGCATAGTACTTCAAGAAGTGGACACGAAACGAACTAAAATTTACTTCAACGTGTGCCTGTTTCATTCCTTTTTTACATTTTTACTGTGAGATTTGAATTGGGGGAAGTTTCCTATGCTTTCTATATTTTGTTGTCCCAGGTCTTAAAAAATGATCCTTAGGCTTTATATTTAGCAAGTTAATCGACGTTTGTTCCTTCTCATGTCTGTTGTACCTTTTGCTCTTCGAAGAGAAGAGAAGAGAGAGAGAGAGAGAGAGCTTGTCTTGTTTCTTTGTTACTGATTCCATCAAAGTAAAGTGTTCACTGTTTTCTATTTAACCAAGGTGTTTTCACATATATGTTCTGTTTCTATTTCCTCGCTTCATCTCAACAATTAACAATTTGGCCTGTTCATTTGTTTTTTCTTCTAGGAAAAGTAATATTAGGAGTAATAATTTTTATTTTTTCTTGTTGGTGGCCCCCTCGGTTCCTGTGGGTCTCAGTTGTTAATTTGTAGTTATTTTCTGTGATATTTCTCAGGTTGAAGTGAAAAGAGCCATACCGAGAGGTGAGCAACGCCAAAACCAACAATCCCGGAATGCACATCAGGATGGAGGATCCAGTGGTTCAAGTAGGATCACTGGTAATAGTGGCAAGCAAAATGGCAGCCACATAAATTCGAAAAAGATTTTCATAGGAGGTTTAGCAGGCGATGTCACACACCAGGAGCTTAAGAGTTATTTTGAGAAGTTTGGTTCTGTCGTTGATACAGTTGTCATGTATGACAGTGCCACTCAACGTCCAAGAGGTTTTGGCTTCATCACATTTTCTTCAGAGGAGCCTGTGGCGGCAGTACTAAAGAATAGACACCATAAGTTGAATGGGAAACTTGTAGAGGTTAAGATTGCAGTCCCCAAGGATTACAGTGATTGTACAAATAATAGAAATAGTGAGAATTATTACAATGTAAGTGCTTTTGGTGGACAATGTGAAAGATGGCCTGTTTATGGCACCTATCAAGGTTATATGCATCCATATTATGGATATCCTAATTATGTAACAACACCTTTTTCTCCTTATCTTTATGGTGGACTATATGGAGGAGGATATAATAACGGTGGTTTGTATGGGATTGGACATGGGTGCCTTCTTCATAGTCCTAGGAACACATGGAATATTTCAAAAAGAATGGTAGATTTCCATACATATCCTCCCTATTTCAGTAGAGACTACAGAAGTTATGATCGAGGTCATGGATTTGATGATGGTAATGAGAACAAAGACGGTCTTGGTGTGCAAACGACAGTTAAGAGTGTGACAGATTCACAGGTAGAAGCGGAAGATGTGAATTGTGATGCACAATGAATTTTGATTGGTATAAATTCCTTTTTATTTTAACTTTTTATTTCTTGTCTGTCTATTATTATTATTATTATTATTATTATTGCTTTAGTTATACATGATGATTGTTTGTCTTCTGATTCCACAGTCTTATTGGCAGATAGTATTGCTTTTATACTCTGATTAGGAAGAATCACATATTTGCACAACTGCATTCTGGAAATGGGACTAAACCTACTGTGGTTTTCATTTCTTATTGTATGAGGATGATGTCGTTTGCCTGTTTCTTTAAATAGTTTCCTTTCTTGCAACCCAGATTTTGAACTTCATACTGGGGTGTGATAACAAATGGCTGCTTGTTGATAACTTCTTTAGTTCAGAGTATATGGCCTTTGCTAATGTGTGCTTTGAGAGGACATATCCCTCATAAAGTGGTTCAGAGTGATGAGACTATATTAATGCTTTAAACCTGATACTTAACACCATATTAGAAAGATATTTTATATGTTTCTATAAAATAATACAGGTTTTGAGTTCTGCCCACCTTTTTTTTGTTCTGTTCCTTTGCCTCTTATTCTTCCCTTTAGAAATTTTTGCTGTTATGTTGCCTTCATATTACTTCGTTTGTTGGTAGTATAAAGATCTGGAGTGATTGTTTTGGGAGCACCTAATCTATCAGAAACCTGAGATGAAGTAGTCATGATTTTGGTTGCTAATGAATCCTAAATGCATAGGTAACTTGATGAAAGGTTTTTAGCGCAGAGAACTGTCATCAGAATCATTGCTTTATATTTCCCTTTCTTGAGTTCTCCCTTCCATGAGTTTGGCATTCTATTATATGCCTTACTATATGTTCTTGCCTTTAGCTATATAAGCATTACAGAGTGTTGCACGCTAGATGCAAACAATGGGACTTAAACCCCTGAGACCTTTTGACTGCAAACACAATGCACTAACATTAGTATGTCTCCTTAGAGACCTTGCTATGTGTTCTTTATTTGCATGTAGCATAAGAATCCCCTGATGTCTTATCTTCATTGGTATTTTGTTCTTCATTAATGCAATCGTACATAACTATGTTTGCACATAATTGTTGTTAGTCAGTGTATTTCGACGATGAACTTATCCAATAAATGTGTCCCTCAAGAATCAAAGTACCTATGCTCTAGGATTATTTCTAAATTTCACTGATGGCTTACCATTTAGTCTCTAGCTATAAGCACTATGTGAACCTGGTGCCATGGTTTTCATGTTCTCTTTGGGCCAAAATATATCCAGTCAAGGTTGGAAAATAACATTACAATTTTAGAAAAGTCTGGGCTGAAGTTTGTCCAAGAAGATCCAACTTAATGATCTTTGCTTTCCCAGTCAGTACTTCCAGCTTGAAGAACCTGACTTCAGGAAATATTTTGATATGATATTAATGCCTTCAGGCAAGTTGGAATACAAAAAATGGAGAATAAGATTAGAAAGTTATGTTACTTAATGGTCCTTGGAGAAGCCACCGGACAGTGTCAAAGAGTGTGTTTTATCAGATGGGAACATTTCTTAATGTAGTTCAATTTGATTTCCATCAGAAAATGGCATTGTTGGGGATAGTATATAATTGCTTGATCCGAGGAAACCAAGGATTTCGAAAAAATTGGTGAAAGATAAGAGTATAAGAAAGAAGAAAGAAGAAAGTTGAAGAGACAATGGATGAGAAAAGAGGAAAGGGCCTATCAATCTGATAGTTGATTTTCCTACAAAACCTGCATAAATCTGTCTTCTGCATTGTGCAGCACCCTTCTTTTAGATATCCAAGCCTCAGTCCTGTACTTTCTTTCCTACGAAGAATCTTTACTTGTAGCAGCTGGTTTTCTTTTCTTTTAACCTCTTGCAATCTCTACATCCTTTCATATGGTAGTTGATGCCAGCTCATTCCTAATTATTATCAATTACATAATTTATAAAGTTGACTGAACTTAAACATGCCGGAGCTTGTCTCATACTTATTCATTCATCCTTTGCCTTGATTGGGCTTGCAATGGATCTCTATAGGCTAAGCCTTTAGCATGCTTCAGCTGCCTGTAGACCTTCCTAAATTTTGTTGATGCTAGCAATAATACCAACAATATAGTTAAAAATTGAGCATAAAATGATACGGGAATGGCTTTGTAGATTCTCCACTTCCTTAGCCCTTATGCTTTTTGATGATTGTTGTCTCATCATTTGTATACAGTAACATATGGAGAAGTGTAATGTGTATTGCAGTTTAGATGTCAGTTGGCATTGTAAACAACCAAACTTGGGCAGTGTTGAAAGCAGCACTAGATAAGAGAAAAATTGATAGTAGTAGTTTGGAACCTACTATATTCTGGAATCATTTGTAATTAGTTATTTGGAACACTAGAGTTTGCAATCTGTACTGGTTTAGCACATGCTTATTGCCTTTTAGTGGGACGTGTCTATGATCAAAATGTTATGAGAACAAATAAGACATCTAGCTTATTGTCTTTTATATTTTCTCTGATCTACTTTAGCCTGTTTCTTCCAAGATACATCCAGGTTCTGTCATGAATTTCCATTCCCAAGTGTTCTTTTACCGGAGAATATAAATATTTCTTTTATATTTTACTTATATGCTTCACTATTCAGATATACATCAAGTCTGAATTTGTAGACTCCATGCTGGTAAGGATTCTCTTTGCTCCCATTTAATTCTGTCTATAGCCATCATTTTCATTTCATTTTTGTATTAATCAATTATGTCGGTCATTATTGGTCAGGTGACTTTGGGTCAACACTGGATTCCCGGCAGCAGCTTCATGCCGGTATGGTTTCTCTTGAAGGGCTTTCGTTGCTTCTATCGATTCTGTATTCACCTGTCACTTTAATTTCATTCGCTGATTGGTCATTATAAGTTTTTTACCGCAGAAATTTTACTCATAACTGATCATTTTTTCTTGTTAAAACAATGCTAAGAATATTAATAGATGTGTCATTCCAGACTATTCTTTAATTTTTAATAAAACTGAGATGTTAAATCTTTTGAATCTATCAAGGCTGCAATATTGTGCTGCCTGTGATCTCCAATTATTGTTGTTCAATCAGCTTCTCTATCTGAAGCATTAGGATCTATGAGACTGCTCTGAAAGATAACCAAGTTTCACTTGACAAGTCAGCGTCATGCTCCATCATGACAAAAGGGGTCAAGAAAAACTTTTTAAGGGGTGAAATCTTTAGTTTCTTTTAGTTCTTGACTAAAGTTTCCTTTTTCCTTTTTGGTTTTCATTTTCTCAATGTCATATACTCGAACAAATTAGAGCTTGTTAGTCAATCAAAGTTCTGAATTTTGTTGTTTTATCTTGAATTGGCATTCATGTAGACAATCGGAACTTGGATAGGATGCTACCGTATTGCTGGACATTGGATTCACAAGACTCCTCACCTGCAGCTGCGAATCATCTTGAAGCCTTGGCGCTGGACATCTGATGCAGCAAGTCTTCTCACCTGCAGCTGCCAATCGTCTTGGAGCCTGTTCTCAATTGTAAGCATAGCCATTGAAATGAACAAAATCTCTACAGATTTTTTTTGCTATACCTGATGTCGCTGAAAAAAATTGCTCAGACATTGGACATGTACAATCACATATTTGATCTTTTTAATTCTTAAATTGCTGTCTCAATTATTAGTTGGATCGATCATAAAAATGTGGTTTATATCAGTGATGCATGCAACTTGTTGGTTGCTTTGGGGTGCTTCCACACTGCAGGTCAGGAACAGCATTTTCTTGTTTCATACAGTTATCAATATGCCTCTACAAATGCCTGCATCAATGATAATGAAGCAACCAAATAAGTCTTGTGCTGCATCTGCAAACAGGCTTTTGGTGAAATGCTAATTTTTGGAACCAAGATTATTTTTTCAATGTGATGCTAGAAACAATTTTGTGGTTTCATGAAACAGAAAGACTCTTAAAAGTTAGAACAAATATTTGGTATCAACCAGAACAGCAAAGATCTATCTTTTCTTCCAACTCTTAATTCTGGGAGTATGACTGTTCTCTCTTTCTTTCTTTCTCTTTCTAGTTTTCCATATGCAAAGAAAGTGGTTTTTGACTTGGCAAAGAAAGTATTAGGGACTGTTTCATGAGGCTATAGCCCTGAATAGCATGGATCAGCCTCTTGGCAATTCAATCATTCCCTTCACCTCAGAAGCTTTCTTGAGAGCACAAACAATGTGCTATTGGATTTATAAAGAAAGAAAGTCTTACTTTGATCTCAACCTTCTGCCAATTAAGCTACTATTTTTTTTCTTCAAGCCAGTAATTATTACTCCTCTCGTGAAGCATGTATTGAAGAAGAAAGAGATAAACAAGGGACAAGCTTTTCCACTGCTTATAAAACTCCTTTTTCATTGAGCAGAAAAGAGAGAAAAGACAAACACTAAATGTTCATTTGGGAGTAATGAAAAACATGCTCTGATGACTTAGCAGCAATAATTTATCATTATTTGAAGAATCCCTAAAAGCAAAGTAGGTGGGTTGACAATGATAACACAATGGTCGGCCATTCACTTTAAAGTTCAATTACATTTTATTCTTTATATTTTGATCCTACTAGTTTTATAATTTTTATACTTAAAAATTTATATTAAAATTTATGTAATTTTAAAAGTGAAACAAATAATCCTATTTATTTTAACGTCGTTAGTTGCATTGACAAAAAATATAACACATGATACCACGTGTATCTTTTCTATTTTCAACACATGAGATATTGAAATTACGTTTTAATTGATAAAGTCTAAAAAAATATTAAAATTATCTTTTTCTCATAATTTTGACGTAGTGTCCCATGTTGTGTTATCTATTAATACAGTTGATAGCATTAGAATAAATGAGATTATTTATTTTATTTTTAGAATTACAAGAATCTCAATATAAATTTTTTTAAATATAAAAATAATGATGCTGATATGATCCAAATACATAAAATTATTTGTAATCAATCGATCATTGAAGGTAGAAATAGAAAAAAAAAATTTCCACCTTAAAACTTTGATCAATCTATTGCTAATTTTATTTTTAAATACAGAGATAACGATGCTGATAGGATCCAAATATGTGAAATTATTTGTAATTAACCCGTGCTTTGAAAAAAATTATTTCCTACCTTGAAGCTTTGATCAACCTATTGCTAATTCTATTTTTCAAATATTGAGACGACGAAATATATTTGTAACTAGCATCACTGAAGGTAGAAATAAAAATATATATATTTCTCGTCTTGCAACTTTGATCAACCTATTGCTAACTGTATTTCTAAACTAGAAACCATTTTTTAATCTAGCAAGTTAATTTGAAGCAAAATAATGCAGTTTGTGGCAGATCTATACTGTTTCTTATTGGTGGACACACAAGTCTACATATCTACTCCACATACTAATAATTGGTAACTGCTCTTCTCTTGTGAATCCCTTTATAGAGAGGCCTAATCTGACTGGAATCATTAGATTTCTTATAACCTAAAAAATTTTATTGATCAAACAAGTAGCATATCTCACCAAAAATTTCAGTGCTTGCAGATGCATGCTGATCAACCTGTTTGGGGTCACTTCCTTGTGGTCATATACAGCTGCTTAATCACATTCACAAATGTCAAAAGATTCAGCAGCTAATAGTGGCTTTTACTAAATAGCCAAATTTAGTTTCTTTATGACATTTACAAGTGTCAAAGATCAATGTTTTTGGACTGCATCCTTCATGTAATGTGCCCCTATCAAGAACAGGCAAAATCCAATTGTTTCATCAAATCTCTGACACAAAAGAAAGATCCTTTTTGAGCAACAAATCTGTACTAGATTTTAACAACAAAAAGCTTGTTTTAGACAGCAAGTGTGAGTTAAAGGAATTTAGCTCATTAGCCAAAGAGCTGTAGGGAGTAGCAGCAGCAATCAGAAGACTAACTGAACAATCCAACCACATCACACCAGTCGAAAACAGTTGCTCAGCTATGGAAGAAGAAGAAGAAGCCAAAAGCAAAAGCAGTAAGCACAGATGAGATGATCAGGAGACTTTTCTTGAAGAAACCTAATGACAATTCCTCCATCAAATGCTGCAGATCTACACCAAGTCATGTGCATCAGATAGAAGCTGTTGCATCCCTTTCACAGCCTTCCATCATGCTCGAGTACATCAAGCTGTTGAATCGAAGTATCTCGTCCAGCTCGGTCGTGAGGTCATTCAAGCATTGCAAAGCTTGACGACCTGAGTCTTCCTGCAACCAAGGTGAAACCAAGCAGGGAACTGTTGACGGCATCACAGAGGAACTTCCATGGTTTGCTGCGTCAATGTAGAATCTCCCATCAAGCTCATGGCGTACGTGATCGATTGGAGCAGGTTGCTGAGGCGAGCCAGTGATCCCGCCATTGTCATCTCCCTTAGCTTCTGCTCCCTTCGCGTGCTTGCCCAAGAGCTTCTTCTTCAGCCTTGTATTCCAGTAGTTCTTGACGTCGTTATCGGTCCTCCCCGGCAACTGTGAAGCGATCACAGACCACCTATCGACCACCGGAGAAGAAAGAGTCAGCGGAGCAACGAGGCATTTCTGCTGTTCGACGGATGGACGACGGAGTCAGCGGCACTCACCTGCTTCCGATGCTGACGAACAACCTGCATATGATGTCGTCTTCTTCTTCGGAGAACCCTCCGCGCTTGAGGTTAGGCCGAAGGTAGTTCAGCCACCGGAGGCGGCAGCTCTTCCCGCAGCGCTTAAGCCCTATTCGATGCAGCAAACAGAGCGAACACATTGACAAGCATGACAAGAGAGATCGAGCCAGTAAACAAGCAGACGCGAGTAACTCACCGATCTTGTGCGGGAGCGCGATCCAGTTGCCGCCGGTGCCGTGATGCTCGATGTAGGACTTGAGCTTGGCGTCCTCGTCGGGCGACCATGGTCCCTTCTTCACGTTGGCTTTGTCGCAGCAGGGAGCTCTTCCCATGGTGTCTTGTCAAGCTCTTGGTGAGGAGACGCCGGCAGCATATATACGACATGAGAGCTTATCCATCGACACAAGTATATAGTCATCAGAGCTCTGAAACTTCATTGGCAGGTTCTCAAAACAGATAACAAGGATTAGGCTTAGCATCGTGGACCTGTAGTGTGGATCAAGTCTCAGAATGGCATCTTGATTTGAGTAGAATTATGTGAATGAATCAAACAGTGACGATGCATGAACATGATCAACATGTGCTGAAGTTGACAAGAAAACAGCAAGCTGGTCTGACTTCTCACCAAAATAGCATGTCTGAAAGAGAGAATGTTTGTTCCACACGGGATTGTCAGATTCATTGATTCTTTTTTCGTCGATTGATTGATTTGCATATGAAGAAGGTGAGAGGTGATGTGTAGCTCATATAAATGGCCGAAGACCTCATTGTTAGGTTGGCCATTCAGTGAAGCTTCCTTGCATATTATGATGTGATGGACGTCGTGCACGTCGACAACCCAAGCAGCCGTCCATGTCTCTGCGTATTTTTTTGTCTCGGAGACTTTAGGGTTAAGGTTCATTTAGAACATGTGATTTAGGTTATAGATAATTTAAGCAGCTTTTATGATTTATTTGTATCTAAAATAATTATTATATTTTAAAAATGTAACATATAATCTTCTCTCGACGAGTTTGAATTCACGTATGTTAAAATATACTTACATATTATACTAACTCATAATAAATTATTAATATAATAATATAAATAACTTAAGTTTAAAAAAGATTAAGATACATTTTAGTCGGACGTGGTTTTGACCATGGACCACTCAAGCTTTTATGGTCTATTCGTGTCTAAAATAATCTCTATATTTTTAAAAATATAACATATAAGTCTTTCCTATTAAGTCTGAGTTAACAGAAGTTATATTCTGTTTACGTGACATGTTGATATATAATAAATTATTAATATAATAATATATGTAATTTAAGTTTTTTTTAAATGAAACCACCATCAATAACGAGAGAAGGCGTCATCGTGGAAATGACTACTAACAACAACACCTAGCAGCTATTACCTAGTAAGGAGTCATACTCACATAGTCTCTCTTATGTTGACGACGAGCTTCGGAGTTTCCGGTCCTATCTCATGTGGATGTGCGTCGACCACTCTGACGCTAGGCACGTAGTAGTCTTCTAATCCCTATTCCTCCTCCTGGGCATCTTCATTCTCACAGCCTCCCACTTTGTCCTCTCTTGTGCCCCCACCCGTTGCGCCTATGACGTGGTGGTCCAACTCTCTCTCACTTCCGCCTCTAGCCTCTTATACCTTTGCCTCTTCGCCTTCATCCACCGCTACAACCTCCATCGCTTCCTCTTCCTCGACAATATAGATCTTAATAATTTTTTAAACTTAATTATATGTGTCATTATATTAATGATTTATTATGAGTCAACATGCCACATAAGCAAACTCAAATATATGTGAATTCAGACTTGATGAGAGGGGCTTTTATGTTGTGTTTTTAAAAATATAAGGGTTATTTTAGATACAAGTAAATCATAAGGGCTTAAGTGATCCATGACCAAAACCATAGGGGTTAAAATGAACATTAATCTTTTTTTAATATATTAATTATTTATTATGAGTCAACATAACATAAGTATATTCTAATGTCTATTAACTTAGATTTGACAAGAGAGACTTATATAATATATTTTTAAAAATATATAGATTATTTTAGACACGAGTAAACCAAATCGGTTAAAATTGATCTTAACCCCAGGATTTAAACAGCTTTTGGATAAGAATAAGTGGTCGGAGAATCTAAACAATATAAATTAGATGATATCACATATAATACATACTTAAGTTTTTAGATAAAATAAAAATAAAAATAAGATTATATATATGTATATATATGAATATATATATATATATATATTTATATTTATATTTATGATAAGGAGTTGACTATTTACTTACTTAAATTAACTTTATAGCATTCAATTTTGAGGGATGTCAAAGTTTTCTCACTTGATTTTCTTAAATTTTTTTATCGTATTTGGAATAGAAAAATAAAATATATTTTGGATTGAAGTAAGATATATAAGACTGAATAAGAAGCCCAACCAACGATTATACACGATCAGGCCTTGACCGAGTTTAGAGATGACTGATTTAGAGATAAAAAATTATTCATAAATCATAAGAAGAGTTTAATTATTCAATCTTCATTGTGGATGTTTCTTAAAAAAACTTTGTTTGTTATACATATATCATTTACATACATTGAACGTATTAATCTTAGGTAATCCAAAAATTATTTTTTTTCTGACTTAACAATTTTAAATATTTAATGTTAGGATATTCATAACTTAAATATCATAAATTAGATTTATTATTTCAAGTTGGTTCAAGTTGTGCAATAGTTAAAACATGAAACACATGAATCATTATCAGATATAATTGAATATTATTTATTTATCATTTATCCAATACTCAGTAAACTATATAATAAACTAAGAAAAAAAATTATCATAATATTTTACTTTCTCTTGACTTGTTTTTATCATAATTATCCCTTTTCCTTTCACTTGGATTTGTTTATTATCTTGAAGTCTAACTTTGACCCTATAAGTTTTATTAAGATCTCTAAATATTAATCTTATATCTATTAGAATATCTATTATTTAAAAATTAAATATTATTTGATATATGATTAACTTATGAATGAGTCATAAACTATTACTTTCTTCATTTTTCTTTCACTTTTATCATCATAATTTGATTTCTTTGTTCATCAAATTCATCAAAATGTTTTCTTTTCTTTTCATTTTTTTAATCATGAAATCCTCTTCTATCATATCTTTTTTTGTAGTCACCCTTAACTTGAAATGATTTTTCTTCACCTTCTCAAATGACGTGTTCAATCTTTTTTCATATGCTTGTAAGGAACCCATTAGTTTTTCAAATAAAAAATAGATAAATCCTTTGATTCATCAATTATGATAATAACATGATCACATTTCGAAGTTAAACTTTTTAATTTTTTAATAATAATATGATCATGAAGATGTTTACCATAATATCTCATTTGATTAATAATTTTAACCACTCAAGAAAGAAAATCTTACATTGATTTATTATTTTTCATAAATAAAATTTTAAATTCATGACGAAAAGTTTACAACTGTAAGAATTTATTGAATGAAGAATAATACCTTTAAGTCATTCTTTCTATTAGTTTGATTTCTTTATTTCTTTCCAAAGATTCCAAGATTTAAATAGAGTTTTCATCTTGATACTCCAAAATGTATAACATTTAACTTGATTCTGTTACCACAAATGTTAAAAGACAAAGATATAAAAAAAATACTACAATGTAATTGAAAAAATACTTTAAATAAGAAAATCAAAATAGTATTAAATAAGAGATAAAAACTAAGAATACTTACAAAATATTTTCAAATAAATATCTTTACTTCGTGAACTATTATCTTATTTATAGAATTTAATAGTAATTATCTCACCATTTCATATATTAAGTATAAAAATAATCCTCGTAATAATAACTTCTTCGATAATAAGTCATTAAAACTGCATTTGAATACAAGCATGCATGGACGTATATACAGTCACCAATAATCCCCACAAGAACACGAACCATCAACGAAATGGTGGAACCGATTCCGATCTCTGACGACGATCTTGCGCCCCGTAATCTTGGCGATGAGCTTGGTGGCCGTGTGGCAATCCACACAAACACGAAGGTTCTTGGCAATCTTGATCGTCGTCCCCGGCTGCGTGCTTATCAGACCGAAGGCGATCGCCAGCTTCTCGCTATGGACTCCGAGCGCTCGCTCCTTCTCCGCCTCCTCGAGATCATGAAGCACCAGCTCGGTCCGCGGGACGTATCCATGAGCTCTGAGCAGCCCATTGAGCTCCTCCAACATGTTGTAGATCTCTTCACTTTTTGGATGGCTCATGTCACCTACCACAAACTCGTACACTTTGTTGGCTACCTCGATTGAAGTGCATCCAGGCTCCTTCTGCACCTTGTTCTCCTTCATCAGGGCCCTCACTTGTGCCACGGCCTCCCAGTTCCCAACTGCAGCATAGATGTTGGATAGAAGAATGTATGTGCCGGAGTTGGCGAGGCCATTGCGAACCAGGAAATTGGCAATCTTCTCCCCTAAAGCCATGTTTCTGTGAAGCCTGCATGCAGCCAATAATGAGCCCCAGATGACAGGGTCCGGTGGTATCTTCATGCTCTGAACAAGCTCGTATGCTTCATCGACGAGCCCTGCTCGCCCGAGGAGATCGACTATGCAGCCGTAGTGCTCGATCTTGGGCTCGATTCCGTAGTCCTTCTCCATCGAGCGGAAGTACTCGCGCCCTTCCTCGATTAAGCCCGAGTGACTACAAACATTGAGGACTCCGATGAATGTGATATCCGTTGGTTGGAGGCCTTCGGCACGTAGTCCGGAGAACAGCTCGAGCGCCTTATGGCTGTGCCCGTGCATTGCATATCCCCCAATCATCGAATTCCAAACGACCACATCCTTGTTCTCGATGCTGTCGAACACCTTGCAAGCATCCTCCAAGCTGCCGCATTTGCAATACATGTCGATCAGTGCGGTGCCCACTCTGGCATTGAACTCTATCGGATTGTTCTCGATGTAGGAGTGCACCCATCTGCCGGAGCCAACGGAGCCCTGCTGGGCGATAGCAGAGAGCACCGAGATCACTGTCACCTCGTTCGGCTTCGTCGATGATGATAACATCTGCCTGAAGAGTAGCAGAGCCTCGTTGGGCCGTCCGTGTTGAGTGTACCCGTCGATCATTATGTTCCAACAGACACAGTCTCTCTCATCCATTTCGTCGAACAGTTGCCTGGCGTTGTCCAAATCCCCCATTTTCGCGTAGCAAGTGATCATCGCAGTGGAGGAGACGAGCCTCTTCTCGGGCATTGCGTCGAATAGACGGCGGGCGGAGACGACCTCCCCGCCGCGGGCGTACATGTCGAGGAGCGCGGTGGCGACGTAAGGGTCGGAATTGAGGACGAGCTTCAGGGAGTGGGCGTGGAGTGCACGGCCGGGGCCCAAAGGGCAGGCCTTTAGGGCGGAGGAGAAGGTGAAGGCGTTGGGCTCGACGGAGGCAGAGAGCATGTCGGAGAAAAGGAAGAGGGCCTCGTGGTGGAGGCCATGGAGGGCGTGGGCATGGACGGCGGCAGTCCAGAAGAAGACATTGGGGTTCGGGGTGAGGCGGAGGAGAGTCAAGGAGCGGTCGGGGCGGCCAAGGGCGGAGTAAGTGCGCTGGAGCTTGAAGTCGACGATAGGGTGGTGGTGGAGCCCCGCACGGAGGACGGCGCCGTGGAGCTCGAGGAGGTGGCGGGCCGAGCGGCACCGGTCGATCAGGGCGACTGCGTGGTCAGCGGGAAGGATGGGGTGGACCACGGAAGGCGGCTCGCGTGTATGTGAGATGCTGCCGCCAACGCCGGCGCTGAGGGCGGAGGTGAAGGTGGCGGAAGACATGGTGTTTCCGGTCACCACCTTATCCTCTTCCTCCAAGGATTATAGTTTTTTTCAATCTTTTCTT